GTCACCTATTTAAAATATGTTTTTAAACTGTCGATCTAATACATGCTTGCTTTAAAATAGTCAAACAATGCAGAAGTATATAGAGTACGAACTGTAAGTCTTCTCCACCCCACCCCCACTCCCCGGAGATCACAGCTGACAGTCCGATGAGCGCCCTCCGCGCCTCCTGGGGCACGTACAGGCCGTGACAAGTAGCTGATGATGAATAAACAGGCCTCTTCCGGAACGGGAATCCAGAACAGGAGTTTGAGAAGGCGCACTTTAGCTGGTCGGGGCTGTGGCTGACTCCCTGTCTCCTTACTGCGGGCGTTGAACGCAGCCAAGGGAGGCAGAAGCGTCCAATTCTCCCACTGCTGAGCCCTCCCCTGTTGCATCAACTGGTATCAACAAAACTAGGTGCTGACAAGAAAAATGATATACTTCTCCCCCCCCCCCAAAAAAAAAAGGTGCTGGTGTGATCCTACAGCTGGAAAAGATGTGGGAGGTAGGATCACCTGCCCTCCTTAAACACAATGGCCCAGACTCTCAGCCTCTTTAAGGGCCCTAGATTTAGAATAATCTCTGTCACCTGATTGAAAGGTGAATTTCACGTGAGCCAGATGCTTTTCCATGCCAACTGTGTCTCCTTTAAGGCATTCTATGGCAAATGCTCATTTCATATCAGATTGCGAACATGGTAGCTGTCACTTATTTTGTGACAAGTTGGCTCATAAAATAAAACACCTAACAATACAACACTTAACAACATGGATAACCATCAGTGCAGATCAAATTCTCTGTGTATCCGTCTCCTAGGCTTTTATTTCACCTCTCCGGCCTGACAGGAGAAGAGGAGGTAAAGTAGTTGCGAACACCGAAAGGCCAAGTAAAGCAGCGATAATAAATAGTAACAAAAATAATGATTAATGAAAACTTACATTTAGCACCTGTATATCATAGCAGAGACTCCATGCTAATAAGTACTTACCTATGTTGCCTTTTTTCCCTACTGTGTTTTTCAGATCATAAGATGCACGTAGGTTTTAGAGGAGGAAAATAGGACAAAATTTTTGAAGCAAAGAATGTGGTAAAATATTTAATAACATAAGTAATATAATATTTCACCAATGTAAGTGTTAAACAACTCAACAGCAGCATTAACGACCATTATTCCTCCTAGATTTGGGGGGTGCATGTTATAGTCCAAAAATACGGTATATTGTTACAAAATTTATAGAATTTGCCAGTTAGAGATGATTATCATTTCGTGTAGATGAGAGACACTAAGAGAGGTTCAGTAATTGGCCCGGTCATGAAACCAGGGAGTGAGAGCACTGGGATTGGAATTTGCAACTCAAATCAATTGGTGGTGGCCTGGAGTGGCTGAGGACTTAGGTACTATGTCCAGGCATGGACGGAAAGGGTGTCAGGATTGATTAGCCATGAGTATCTGCCCTGTGTGTAAGGATGGGGGTGGGGGGGCAGCAAAACATAAGCTGCATGTTTGTCTCTTACATCACAGTATTTCACAAAATGATGCTACCTAGGGAGGAAAACTATTGCCTCTCTTAAAGTACATTTTGGTAAAGTATCACAATCTGAGAGCCCCGTGTCCAGTTATAATAAAAAGCCACATGATTCCAAAGCATCCAGTGGCTGAGATGTGCCGGGGCCAGAGCTGCTGGCTTCCCACACGTAACAATCCTCCCACTGGCCACACAGTTCCCAGTGGCTTCCCAGCAGTAGCATTGTCACATCCCAACAAAGCGGCTTTGCCACAGACACATAAGCCCCATGGCTGGCACCGACAGTTTCCCTGAGAGATGCACTGTCCCCTGTTGTCCGGCAGCCTTATTGTTCAGAGGTGAGAGAGTGAGGCTTATGTCCACATGTGGGACAATAATGTGTGCTATATTCTTGTTGTCAGCAATATTCGGGGTCACCACCATATCTAAACTTCCAGTGCTCTGAAGTGACCTTTTTGCATACTAACCCTCACACTTGAAGACATATTTGTCCCTAACTCAAAGAGCACTTGCTCTGAAGTCTGCCAGGACCACCGTTATCACCAGCAGTGGAATTGGCTTATGGATTCTCATCACCCCAGGATCTAGGACAGTGCTAATAAATCCTTAACAATTGAAAGAATAAGTTAAACTCCACTGATTTTTAAGAAATTGGATGTAGTTAAACTAGAGTGATATTTGTGATCCAGGAAGATGAAAAGATGGTAACTATTCCAAAGATACTTTCCTTGAATCTACTCTGATTATGTGCAAAGAACAGAGTCTAGCAGCAAAACATAGTCGAAGAAGGGCTTTGCTTCCTGGGAATGTTGGGCTGCAGTGCATGGGGAGAGACATGCTCTGTAAAATGTGCTGATGGTTCTGAAAAGTCACAGATGTGGGGCCAATGAGCAGAGCCTGATACACGTTCAAGTGTGTCATTTGTGTGTTTCTTTGCTTTTGGTGTGTACAAAAGTCATTGATGTATCTCCCACTGGTCTGTGAAACCCAAATAAATATCTGATGTAGTAACTAGTTCACCAGCAGGGTCTATGACTAGATGCATCTTATAGCCACAAAATGTTAACTAGTGTTCCGAAGTCTACTGAACATCAAATCGTGTGTGTTGAGTCTTCTGGGATGCTTTGGGTTGTAAGTAATACAAAGCAAAACTCCAAATGGCTTGGACAAGAAGGAAGCTTTATCTCAAGAACAAGAAATTTTGAGATAGGGTTACTGAATGATTAATTCAGCACCATAGTCACATCTTAAAGGACTGCTTTGCCAATCCTCTCGAGTTGGCTTTGTTCTCAAGGTAGCTCCCTCATGATTGCAGGTGCTTCAGCTCTTCCAGGCAACACATGGTAAAGAGCAAGGGAACCATTCCCCAAAGACCCAAGCAGCCCTCTCCTTACATCGCATTGGCCAGAACTGGGCCAGTGCCTATTGTAACAAATCACTGATAAGGGAAATGGGAATACGAAAACTGGCTTAGGCGATCAAGATTTACTCCAAAATTGAAGATAAGGTCAACTTCCTTGGGAGAATCGTGAGTTGGGAGAATGTGAACTAAACCAGAATTCATTTAATATGGAGAGAGAAGAGGGCACTTGGCTCCTGAATAGGGAACCAACCAACTGTGTCAGCTACAAATGCTCAGTGGAGCGGCCACATTCATATTTTTATGCTACCTTCCAAGGGCCCAACATGCTAATACTCTTAATCTGGTGATTCCATATTAAAAATTAGCCATTATCTGTTAAGGTAAAGATAAAACAAATTCAGATAAGACAGAAACACTTCCATTACCTGACTTCATCAATGAAACTCAACTCCCCACTTCTAAATTAGGACAGTTTATTGACTTCAAAGACTTAGGCCACTCTATCAGGAGAGGGAATTTCTTTAAAAAAAGGAAGTGAGAAGGAGACAGCCTCGGAGTGAATGTGGGAGAAAAGCTCCCCAGGAAGAGGAAGTATATGCAAAGACCCTGAAACAAAACTGATTGGGTCTGAAAGTGCGGGGATGTTTGGCTCACAGGTGCAGGGAGAGAATCACAGGAGGTGAGGGTGGGCCTGCTGGGAACAGGGGCCGTTGGAGCCTGGTAGGTCCAGGTCCATGGGAGGGAATTGGGGGTTTCATTCCAAGTGCAGCAGGAAGCCTCTTGAAGGGTCAAACAGGATCTACGGTTATAAAGTGACACCAGTAATCCCACGCTGGACCCTTTTAAATGTCAGAAAGAGTGAACTCCATGTAATGTGGCCTGTGTGTCCTTGGACGGTTACCGGGAACTCCACTCCACTACCTTGGCTCTATGCTGAGTTGGCCTTCCGTTTCAGCGCTGGATGCATGTTCATAAACAGGGCAGCCTAGTAGAATGACCTGTTCTGGAGCAACTCAAGGGCATCTTGACTAAAAGATGGTACTTTAAAGGGAAGCAAAAGCTATTTACCATTTTTGGTGGTGTTGCTACTCCTTTCAGTAGTTATCCACCAGTTCATCCCCTAACTGGCTTCTAGAACCTTAGAAAGGGAAACTGCCAGAAAAAGGGTGGGCAAGCACATCTCCCCAGATGGCCAGCCAATCTCGTGTGTGGTTTGCAAACCCGGAGGACTATGTCTACAGGCGTCAGGCGCAGTGAGGCCACTCGTTCCACTTGCCAAGCCCTTTCGCACTTCAAGTTACATCACTGCGCTCAGCACATTCCAGAGCTCCATTTCCTTAGCAGTTCCTTAATAAAAATTTCGTAAGTCTGTTTATTTCTCAACAGTTTTTCACTTTGTCATCAGTCTTTGAGCACCGCTGTCTATGTGGAGGCAAACACAGGACCGGACATTGAAAGGCAGTGTTAGGGCCGTGTTAGTCCATGGACGTGGGGAGCTCCGAGAAGGGAACCAGAATGGGGTTCCCAGAGGAAGTGACAAAAAAGCTGAGCCCCGAAGAGGCTTCTTCTGGCTTCTGTGAGAAAGACGGTTGGACAGCGGAAAGATGTGACCGAGGACAGTAGTGCAGAGGCTGCTGCGGGGGGCCAAAGAGAGGCCGCGGAGGCCTGGGTCATCCAGATGCAGGGAAAGAGTTGGCTGAAAGACGCAAAAAGAAACATCCCAGGAACAGAGCTGAGGAGACTTGGAGACTAATTGGACGTAGGACAGAACTGAGATAGTTCTGAGAGTTTTCAGTCAACCCAGTCTCCTCCCCAAGGTTTTTAAGCTGAAACGTAGAGGTCACCAGAGTTCTTCATGATCCATTCCTGTCCAGATCCATTCCTCTTTCCCATGACCTCTTTTTGGAATACTGATGACAAATGAAGTGGAATGTATATGCTCTTCAGAATGAAACCCTGAGTTTTATGACTCTTGTTCACAGAACATTTGAAGGTGCTTCTGGGTAAATGCAAATTATTGTGGTACATCTGTGCCAGTTTGGCCAATGGCAGGCAGCCTTCTAAGTATGGTTAATGTCAGAAGTGAAGTTATTTTCATAAATGTTGTTTCTTTTCTCTTTTTATTTGTGAAGTATATTCGGTGCTCTTCGAACTGGTGCTTATATGGTGTACATTTTGATGACCAAAGGCCTGAAGCAGTCAGTCTGTGACCAGAGTTTTTATAATGGACCTGTCAGCAAATTCTGGGCTTACGCATTTGTGCTAAGCAAAGCACCTGAACTAGGTGAGTATCTTCTCTCCTTGCATTTCCCCCTCTGCCACCTAATTTATAGCTACATACCCACAATGTTTCTTTAAAACAAACAATTTGGCCCTGGTTGATGTGGCTCAGTGGACTGAGCACTGGGCTGTGAACCAAAGGGTCGCCGGTTCAACTCCTAGTCAGGGCACCTGCCTGGGTTGCAGGCCAGGTCCCCAATGGGGGGCACACGAGAGGCAACCACACATTGATGTTTCTCTTCCTCTCTTTCTCTTTCCCTTCCCCTCTCTCTCTAAAAATAAATAAATAGAATATTTTAAAAAAATAAACCATTTGAAGGTCCTGCTTTGTTGGTTGCAGTAAAGTTACAATTAATGACTAACTTCCACTATCTTTTCCTCTCTCCCCTCCCTCCTTTTAAATAACTGTGTATATGAAGAGCAAAATACTGTACATAGAACATGCAGATTTTCAAACACTACCGTCTGCACATTTGCAGGGGTCGTAAAATGTCCACAGCCCGCTGTGCACGCATTATCTGGCCCATTTTCAGCGCAGCTAATAATGAGAATATGAGGAAATGTGACCAGTGCGACTATTTCCAAGTCCCACACTAAAGCATACTTTCTTTTCTGGAGCTAGGGTTCAGACTAGGAAATGAAGCTTCTCATTTGGGTACCCTCGTGTTCTCATTAACAAGTGCTAAGGGCTGGTTTCTGGTGTTGTTTGATTTTAATCACCAAAGAGATGGGCACTGGGGAAGTGAAATGTACTTCACCTTTTAGACACTAACAAAAAAAAACTGGTTATATGTGTAGATTCCCAAGGTTTTCCCTCCAACTCTTCAATATAAGTGTGGCACTCTTAATGGGCTTCAATATAAGTAGGGCTAGCGGAAACCGTGGAAAACAAGTGGCAATGATTTGACATGGGTATAGCACCCCAGGAAAATATCTTTATTGCCAGAGAAAGGGATCTGCTGGTGATCATAAGACCTTCATTCACCCACGAGCAGGGCCGACCACTGTCTCACCAACTGCTACATATCTTTAGGGGAAGCCCAGGCATTCTCTGGGTTTCTTCATTTTTTTATCTGGAATTTAGAATTGTATGCATGAAGTTTAAAATATTTGTTTGTTTGTAGAGTGTGTTCCCTCTCCTGTTTTCCCTAAGAGGGGGGTTAAAGGTTGTAATTTCATTATAAGCCACCTACCATGTAAGGTACCAACAGCCTTTGTGTGAGGTACCCCCAGTCCACGTCCTGTGTCTGTTCACAGAGGACACAAGGTCCCTGACGGTGTGTCAGCAGCCCACTCACTTTCCCCTGGGGGGCGATGCACCTGGTGCCTACAAACAGTTGGCAGTTGGTTGGAACTATTGGTGTGATTCCCCCTCCCCCCGCGCACACACACACACACACACACACACACACACACACAGAGCTTGTGTAGTCTTAGAATGAAATGCATTAGTAGGGATTCATTCATTCATTCATCCACCCATTCAATAAATTTCTATTAAACACCTGCTAGAGTTAGGTATGTTGTAGGGACTAGAATGGAATGGCTACATTATCGATAAAGAAATTTGCAGTATTACACAAGTTTTATGAACTAGGCCCCAGGAGGCATTTTTAAAAAAATATTTGAATTGGTGCAAAATCTTAGGCCAGAGAAGTGTTTTTCAAACCTGGAGCTAAATACAATGCCTGAAAGTCTGCAGCTCTATTTTTAGGGATTTCAAAGCTCTATGAGAATATTTTAATCTTGTGTTTTTAGTTGTAGATAAAATAAAAGATTATCTTGCCAGATACATTTCTTTCATAGTGATTCTTTTTTTTACTTAGATTCACAAGTTTCCATGTTAGATCATGTGGCCACTCTGGAGTTGGTCTGAGAACGTGAGCATGTCTTATTTACTCATGGGGTTCTCTGGCGTTTTTCTTTAAAAATAAAATTATACACTATTAATATTATACCCCACTAACTTTTAATTTATGCAGTATAGTAAGTATCCTTATTAATTCCCCTACCTTTTTTGATAAAGAACTGACTGCAGATGTATGTATGCAATAAATGCTTGAAACATGTAACCCCACCCCACACACATGCAGTTCCTGAACACCTTTATGATCTCTACACCTTACTACCCTCAACAAAATTTTTTTTAAAAAACCACAAATGGTGCCTCAGTGCACCCGGCTCTTAAGCCTCCAGTTGCGATGGATCAGCCTCAGTCTTTGTTTCCAGAAGCGTCTTTACCCTGCGAGGGCGGCTTGTCTGTGTTCTGCCTTTTCTCCTACTGCATTTGAGGGGCTTACGAATAAAAATGGGTCTTTCTACCTTTTGAAGGAATAATTTCTCGAAGAGCCTCTCCAAGCGCTCCATATGAGTCCCTTTCCTTCGAAGACATGACTAGACCCAGGCTCCCGCCCTTGGGACTTCTGTTCCAGGTTGAAACCGAAGTTTCAGGCTGGTGGACAGAGTTGGGCCTCCTAGACTATCCTTGGGGCCTCAGAGGTGTTCGTGCTCTCAGCCTCTGTCCCTGAGAGTGTTGGTCCTGATGGCGCTGAGTAATCCTCCTGTCTTAATTCAATGTAGGCCCCAGATTGCTCACCCTACTCCCCAGTGCAGACAAAATTGGATGTGGGGTCTTCCCTCTTGAGCCCAGAAGGAGCTGGACTCCAGTCCCTTGTGCCGGTGGCTTGATACCCCCTTTCCTGTTGCACCCCCAACGTGCCACAGCAGTGTGTCGGTTGGAGATCAAACAGTGCGTCCCCGCACCGTTTACCACACGGGGCTGCAGTGTTGGCAGCGGGCTGAAGAGTGAGGCTAGTTAGTGGCACAAATTCTTCCCGTAGTTTCAGGTCCATTACACAGATCATTTTGTGGTCTGAGCCCCCTCGCTTCAACGTTAAAACATGACTTACTTCCTTTCAAGTATCCTGGAGCTCCGTTGACAGTGGCCTCCCCAAGGTGAAGTGCTTGCCGAACAAAACAAATCCAAAAGTCAGTTTTAATGCAATGTCTCGGAGGCAACTGGCCCCTGCCCTTGTTCAGTAAACATACTTGTTCTGGAAGTTAAATTCCTTCCCAGTTTTTTGCTCTTAGAAAACCTTGCCACTACCATTTAATTAAGAAAGATGTATCCATTTGGATTATTTAGAACTTTTTTAATACTCTTACAATTCTGGACTCCCTTACGCCCACCAGAAAGGAAAGGCCGTGTGAGAGAAAAAATTCTTTCATACTCAATACCGAAACCCTGGGTTCCCTCAAAACTTTTATGCCAATAGTTTTCACTAAACTTTCTTGGCAAAATATCCATCGAACTCACCATCTGTAATAAGTGGACAGAGCTCCGGCATTAAGAACATCTGCACCACAGCACAGTCATCCCCACTGTCCTCCTTCAAGGCTTTTGCATCTTCCAGCTGCAACTCTCTGCCATTAAACACCGTCTCTCCGTTTCCCCCTTCACTAAACTCTTAATAGCAAGGCAGTCGTTCAGCTTCAGCAGAAATCACTGAGCTCATTTCAGTGAATTACAGGGTTACAGTCTGCTAGAAAAAGTGCGGGGAGGACAGCCACCAAGCCGCCTCCTGTGCCAGCATCCTGGGGCTCCCACTGTTTGAATTGCATTAAAACCTGCTGAGATTTGGTTTTGTTAAAACTTGGAAACATCTGCTCTGAGTCTAAGTCCTTGCTCAGTTGAGCTTGTCTTTGTTTTTGAAATTCTGACTCAGCAGAGCTCCAGCTAATTCTGTGAAGAGCAGCCCAGCACTCCGTGACAACCCCGCACAGAGCGACTGGTGGCTGTGCACCCCCTGGGGCTTTCCAAATGCTGAAGGGACCCTGGGGAGTGCAGACCTCATGCCCTACCTGCAGGTGGGCTGGCTCTTGACTGGAAGTAGGTGAACTGAAGGTCCAAGAGACTGTGGTGGAGAGAACATAAACCAGGGATGGCTGAACTAAGTGACGTGGCCGAAAGGTTCAGGCATCAGAAGTCTCAAATACTTGACACTGACCTGGAATCCCCTCCACAAGGCCCAGGAGACCTTTGGCTGAGAAGGATGGGTTGGCCAGCATCTCATACACAGCCCCTGTCTTTAACTTGCATTTCCAGGACACTGGAGCTTTTGACAGGCCTATAAATACTATGACTTGTGACAGATCACATGTGATACTGACGGCCAGAGTGTTGTGACTATTGCATCTCAGCTGCCCCATCAAAAGGACCATGGCCGTCTCAGGGAGCCCCCCAGTTTCCCTTTGCCCACGGGAAGCTCTCATTCTCTGGGTCAGTGGCCTTTGTGGGGACAGTAACTTAGAGAGGGCATTGACGTGGTACTCCTGAGAGGCTCCAGGGCCGTTATTGAAAGAGGTTCATCTTCATCCTGCATGATGACTGTTCTGAAAAAAGATTCTTAAGTGAATTCAAATTAACTTTATTTTGAAGTTCTCATGACATGTCTTTCACCCCCCACTCCCATATTAAATAGAAACCCCTAGTGTGTCTCAGGTCAAACCCAAGACCCCCTCCCTGACTCACAGGAAAAACACAAAGCAGTGTTCAATTCCAGAACCGCAGGTTCCACTCTCTGTTCACATTAGGCCATCCTGGTAGGGTCGCTCTCTTTTGTGTTCTGCTGTTCCCTTCACAGTGAAATTGTTCTCCCTCTCAATTAAATTGTTCTCTAGACCGTAAAGTTTTCATATGAAAGTGATGATAGAGTTAAAATTAAATCTATAAGACTTTAAAAGGATGAAATGCTTAGTACTTTATGGCAAATGACTTTTTTTTATTACAGTGTGTTTGGAAATTGTGTGGGGCTAAATTTGTTTCGACATACAATTCCTTGGACTTCTTTCTTTGCACTGAGAACCAAGGTAGACTGGGAGTGTCCCGCCTCCGTGAGGTCCCACAGAGGAGGGGGAGGCCAGAGTAGTAACTACACAGGAATAGTAGATTCTGACAGGCACACAAAGCAGCACAGTTCAACACTAAGAAGTAGACACAGGTCTCCTAAGACTAGTTTTATCCCTTAAGTATGCAAGTGAGAGTTCACCACCACCACTGGTCATTATCAGCCTGTCTTACATTTATAGGTGTAATGTGTCAGGTACCTGACATAAGAAGAGAGAAGATGACTTCAAAGAAAATTTTACAACAGGTTCAGACATGCAGCAGCTGGCAACTTTTCCATTCTAGCCAAACATAAAGTAATGCCGTTTAACAATTCAGTAGGGAAATAAGCTAACATCTACTGCTGAATGGAATGGGCATCACCTGTATTGTTCCAGCCATCACCATCCTTCTGAGGTCCAGCATTCTTTGACCTTCTCCTGGGCCAAAAGTTCTAGGGTGCCCTTGAAGGATGAGGGATAGGACAAGGATAAGTACTAAATCTCTTTGTGCTTAATTAAACTGCAGAGTAAGAAGAGAGACCACCTACTTCTCCTTGTTACAGAAAAAGAAGTCAAGTTTAAGTTCACTCACCACAGCTCCTGAGAGATGTTGGTTGCACCGTATCTGAGGACCATAGAGCTAGGAAAGAGGAGGAAGCATATTTTTGCATGAACCCTCTTTCTGTCCCACATACCAACACGTCTTCTCTTTTCTTTGCACTTGGTCATGGAATTGGCTGTATTTGCTCTTTATCTATTTTTTACATGTGTTCTACAGGTTTTTCTGAGAGATTCTTAGACTTCTCAGAGAATCATTGCAGATATATAGCATCTGTCTACCTGAGCATAATTCTGGCTTCTGGAATACAGACTCCTCACCCTAGACACAGTGGTCTTTTTCTTCAAGGGATGATGTTCTTAAAATATTTGGTAGCTTCAGAGAGCTATTTCCAAGTTAAATCCATAAAGATGTATGTAAGTCTCAGTTTTCTATCACTTGATTCACTGGCTTAATAAAACATTCCTATTGCCCTCTTCAGCAAATACGGTAGAAGGTGACCTTTGTTCTCTTTTTCTGTTTTTGCCTTTTGCTTAAATTTTACTTTTCTGACTGCCATATATCCAGGTGTCACATTTTATAGGGGGCTTACGAAGGTACATTTGTAAGGGGTCCCTTTCTCGTGTATAAAAGGAAAAATTCACTGCTGCAGAGAAGCCTGGGAACACAGCGTTGGCACTTAAATTCCGATCTATCTCTCCTGATGGATAACTGACCTGAGACAAGTCAGCTCGCCCTGAAATGTGTGTTGGAGTTGGAGACCAGGCGACATTGTTACTAAAGTCCCTTCCAGATCAAAAATTAGTAAGGTTTTGTGCAAAACGCCTTTCGGGAAGCAACACCTATCGAGTTCTTACCTCGTGCTAAGAGGATCTACTGATAATCATTCAATCCTCAAGACATCTCCAAGCTACTTTTATTATCCCCATTTTACAGATGAGGAAACTGGAGAATAGTGAGAATAAACAGCCTGCCCCATGTCACAGGTAGTCAACATCAGCCCAGGATTCTAACCCAGTCCCCCTCACTCCCAAGGGCTAGGTCAAGGTGTATCTACTTTTCGTGGGAAACATAAAACGTCATTATGTTACCGTCCAGGGGCTCATGTCCATTCTTTACCTAACTTGTCTTTCAGGAGATACAATATTCATTATTCTGAGGAAGCAGAAGCTGATCTTCCTGCACTGGTACCACCACATCACTGTGCTCCTGTACTCCTGGTACTCGTACAAGGACATGGTGGCCGGGGGTGGTTGGTTCATGACGATGAACTATAGCGTGCACGCTGTGATGTACTCTTACTACGCCTTGCGAGCAGCGGGTTTCCGAGTCTCCCGGAAGTTTGCCATGTTCATCACCCTGTTCCAGATCACTCAGATGCTGATGGGCTGTGTCATTAACTACCTGGTCTTCTACTGGATGCAGCATGACCAGTGTCACTCTCACTTTCAGAACATCTTCTGGTCCTCACTCATGTACCTCAGCTACCTTGTGCTCTTCTGCCACTTCTTCTTTGAGGCCTACATCGGCAAGATGAGGAAAACCACAAAGGCTGAATAGTGTTGGAACTGAGGAGGAAGCCATAGCTCAGGGTCATCCAGAAAAATCATAGACAAAAGAAAATGGCACAAGGAATCACATATGGTGCAGCTACAACAAAACACATGAGCAAACACAAAACCCAAGGCAGCTTAGGGATAATTAGGTTGACGTAACCCAGTAAGTTTATGATCCTTTTTGGGTGAGGACTCACTGAGGGCACCTCTATCTCAAAGGACCGCTGCTAGAAGACCCCATTTCCTCTTTACCTGCCAAGTTTAAGACAAATGAGAGCAAAAGTGAGCCAGAGGCAGAGAGAGACCGGAGGCAAACAAAAGCTATTAACACTATGGAAAGTATTTACTAAGTGTTCTATTTCTCTGAGGATAAAAGAAGTTTACTCAAAAACTGTGCGAGCACTTGCACAAACAATCTGATCTTTTTGACACTAAACCGGAGCCAATAGAATAGATAAAAACAGAAGAGACACAAGAGTGTATATCTAGAACATTAATCCTTTTGCAAAACTTAAAACCTTTTAAAGAAAGGTTGGTAGGTATAGCCCCCATGAGGAAAGATGTCTTAATCACCTCTTATGAAAATGGATATAAACAAGTATATTTCGACTGGTGTTTTTCTCTTAACAGCACAGCCTCGGGCTGGCGAGTTTGCCAAAACCAAACGGGGCACCGTGTCCTTCCCGGGTTCTTCCTGGGAGGACGGAAACAATGCGGGCCCAGTGCGGGAAGGAGCAGCTCCATCTCAGAGCATTTCTGGTAGTTTTATCAGCGATTTCTATTCTTAAATGAGATATGAAGCACCATCCTTGGTTCAGGTGTCCCAGGCTTTTGAAAAGAGTAAATACGGGATAGAAGAAGTGAAGCTCAGTTGAATGATTTGAAAATGGATTCTGTAGTACAACCTGTAGAAAGGTTCGCTCCAATACCATTCTTGGGCTGAGAAGGGGAGAAAAGCAGGGAAAAGAAGTGAGCCGAAGGTCTTTACAATGTGTACCCTATCTATTTGACTTCACACATAGTCATAACTTTCCACATGAGAATCTGTGGTACGATCTGTATCTTCTATATTTTTGTGAATTTCAAAACGAAATCTGCAGGGCCCTTTCCTGATTGATACTGAGCGAACACTGTGTTTCTGCATCATCTGCATTTGCTTCCTAAGCAATGTAGAGGTGTGTAAAGTGCCCTCTGCTGGTCAAGTGGAGATACTTCAACAAACGCTTCATGGAAAGTCTGCAACAGTTGACAACAAAGGGCCCCCTATAGACTTATCCTCCAAATTTTCGGCGATACAAAAATACACGTTATTTTTTGGCCAAATCAGAAGACATCTTTCCTGCTTCAAGTCAGCTTCAGAAAATTTTTAAAAAGGACTTTCACTCTGGAACTCAGAAAATCAGTTTATTAAGAGCCATATTCTTTAAAAAAGAAAGGTAGTTAATATATTATTGGTAATATTTCAGTCCTTTACAAGCCAAATAAATGTGTAAACATTCCTAGTATTTCAAAGAAACAATTATGTCAAGTTGTTCAATGTGATATCATAGTATTCTAATTGGTTAAGTAGCTTAATGATTAGACCAACTAGTTGAAAAGATTAGGGGCTGTTCCACCGCGTAGACTGTACTCCTGTAGAGCCACATATATGCACAAATGTGGGGCACGCTGACTTTCAAAGCCCAAATGAATAGAAACACATTTTCTGGCTAGCAGAAAATAAATTGTTGTTTATCTTTCTTGCTTTATTTGAGAGTGTACAGTAAAATAATTTTTCCAAATTATTTTTATATTATTTTAGCTTTAATTGCGCTGTCATTCATGAAACAGAGCTGTTCTGCTTCTCTGTCAGAGATGACCAGGGCTTTCTCAGCATCTCCTTTATGTGTGGAATCGAATAAAGTTTTATTCCATTCTGTGTGAATGGTTTGAACAGTGAACAAAGAACCCGTGCAAACCAAGTCATGACTGATAGACCGCGTGGGGGGCGTGATGCGTGCAGGGAGGGGAGCTGTTACATCTGGGTAAATTATTGTGAACAGCCTGATGTCCTGACATTGCTTCATTGATAAACAATTGATGGAGGAATGTATTATGATTAGGGTGAAACTGATGGTGAGCTGAAAAGACAGGTCCTGCTGCAACAACTAACAGACCCTTACAATGAAAACAATGTTTAGAGCTTTGAAAATACATGAGGCTGTGCAAAAAGCTTTTTTTCCCTTATGACAGAAAATAAGCAGGATCATTAAACTGAGGAAAAGGTCAAATAACAACTGAATTAAGTTTAATTGAAGGACCAGTTAGAGCTCATCTTTGATTTACTTGTTGAATCCACTGATTTATCATTGCTGGATTCGTTACTGCAGGTCAGCGTAAGGAAGTGAGCATAAACCTTAAATAGACTCTCAGTGATTCCCAAGCACTTTCATTTTGATGTAGGTTCATACTTGTGTTCACTAGTGAGATCATTTAGAATTTGTATTTAGAGGTTGACTAATAAGGTTTTTTAAATTAGCTAAATATATCTAAAGGCACTTCCAGTGTTTATCATGGGAGGAGAAAAACACATTAAAAAATCTGGTATTACAGGTTCAGTACAAAGTTTTTAATATCTCAGCTTATCTGCTTACATCAAGATAAGAGGCTCTATTGCCAGCCCAAGGCAAATCTGAAACCTACCAGAGAATTGACTGCCACATAGACAATTCTGCTGTCAGATAACATTCCAGAAAAATTTGGGCAGACAAGTTTCTGTAGCTGCCCAACTATGCCGCAATCAGTTGTCTGTCTAGTGAAGATTTTTCACTGCATTCCAATTACAATATGGTGAAAACATTCCTGCATTGAAGACAAATTCTTCATCTCATGTATAAGTACACACAATTTGATACACTAGGTCTGAGCCCAAGCCTGTGGGTTTGCAATGAAAAGCATTCTAGTGAGAAATGCTCTGTTCACAAAGCAGGAGGTTTTATCTGGACCTTCGGGCTTTATACTAGTGAGGAAAGCAACCACTATACTATTTATACCCAGCGCCCAGCCAAAAGTACCAAATGAATCATATACTGAGGTTATTGTTCCAGGTAATTTACTCCCATCCTCCTCATCATACTTCATCACAAAAATTAGGAAAGGGGCAGTACATAGGTACATACTGTGAAGGGGATGAAAAGCACTGATTACATCTCTGTCGCAACCTCTGCAGATGGAGCTCTGCACTGAGTCCAAAAACCTCATTTAAGTGGGGGTTTTGTAGAACTATGTGGAAGAGCACTTGTAGGGGAGAGACCCACAGAATTTAAAGATCAGATGCGGTATTTTCACGAGGTAAAACCTGTTGCATCAGAGTAACAAATCGCCTGAAGTGAATTACACTGGAGTAGAATATTCTAGAAGCCTGGCCTCATTCCCAGACTGCTGAATTACCTGGGGGAGACAACATGCTCAGGTTACTATCTTCTTTATGCTGGCAGAACAGCCTCTCTGCAGTGACCGTGTCACACGACTGAGTCGGCTCCCACACACCTGGGCTTTTTTCCAGTTCAGTTAATGACTGTTTAACGTGGTTGCTGGACTGGCCACATGCGGATGCGAGAGCGTTGTAGGGGAGTGAAGATCGAATAGAAGTTGCCTCCCAGAGTGCAGCGCTTTGAGTCCTATGTGCATGGTCCGTGTCTGTCTCTTTTAGGTACATATTTCCCTGAAAAAGTTTCCATCCCGAAAAGTACAACTGTTTGAGAATTTTGTGGTGAAAGCTCAGAACTTTCTGGTAACCCATTCTTTTTGTTTTCAATGATAAATGTTTTGTTATCAATTCAGGATGGTAATAGAGCCTGTGTCTAAACTGCGAGTCCTCATCTCCTGTGGCTTGTTAAAGTTAACCTTCTGTCCATTTTATGTTTATGTACAACACCCAATTCTTTGTCCCTCAGACCCATTAAGATGAAGAGCTTTTGCTAAGAATGCACCACAGTAAAGTGAGAGCTGAAAAAGCACCAATACTCTTATTTTGTGGCGAAAGTCAGTAGGAAGATTTAGGTCCCAGTTTTCCAGGGAACCAACAGCCTCTGTGTGCTGGGTACCCCATACATAAGCCAAACCTCCTCAGACGCTGAAAATGCAGGACTCACAGAATTGGGGGACGAGTAACCTCCAGGCTTCCCTGAATTTCAAATTACACCTTTTTTTGAAAAAGTGAAACAAGTTCTAGCACTAAAGAGACGGACGATGGACGCGCAGTGGGTGTGGCCTCAGGGCAGGCAGAACTTGCAATCAGATACACTTCACTGGAAAGCCAAGCCCAAAACTATGTTGCAGTCACTCCTGAAGCATCTGGTTAAATTAAAGAAACGTCGCATCAGTCAGGGCCAAGCCATATTTGCAGCCCATTCAGGTCAGGATTTGGGGGGTTCCTGACTCGTGCTGGTTTTTAAACGCTGTTACTTTGCCAATGCTTGACGGCACTTGAGACTTTTTCTCCCAGCGGACCAGGATGAAGCAAGCTGTGGGAGCAGCCCGGTAGCACTGCCCAGGCGTGCCCGTGCGGAGCCAGGTCTGCCTGTCTCTGGGTGTGTTCAGGCAGGAGGCTGCTCGGGAACCACCGGACGATTCAGCCTCTCGAGGTCCCGGGGCCTGCGTGCAGGTACAATCCCACCCGTCGAAGCCTCACAGAGCAAATCGTAGCAATGTTGGAATTGTAGTTTTCAAGTGCTTTCTTCATGACGTTACAAGAAATATTTTTTCTGATATCTTAAAATAAAATCATACATTTTGATTTAAAAATCAAATCGTGTTTCTGGTTTCTTTTATCTCTTGTTCTAGGCCATTCTAAGGGGCCCCCAGGGCTCTGACGGCTGCCAGAAAGGCCGTTCCCCACGGGACACCAGTGTGCGCAGGATCACGGGCGTGCTTAAAGGTCCTCAGCTCCTGAGGGGGGGGGGGGGCAGTGATGTCATCCTCAACACTACTCACAGTCCCACAGGCGTCTAGCCCTTCCACGGTGTCTCATGGGTGTAACTCTTAACAAGTTATGTTTTCCAAACCCTTTAGTTCACCAGAGCTGTCCTCATGGGGCAGACAATCTAAGTTGGGCCCCCGTTTGACAGATGAGGAAATTTTGCTCATTTAATGAAATGTCACAGAAGCAGAAGGAACAAGATTTGAACTTCAACTCCTTCACCTCTTAATTTCATTATAGCTATTCAAAAATTTTAAAACAGAAGAGTATATAAAATTCCAGGATTGAGCACTGAACTAGAAAGCACTTTGTTACATCATTGAACAAAGTGTTTCAGGCCAAAATGCATGTTGGGGAAGACATTTCAGAAGCACGGCAGCTGTCTCCTTAGGAGCTGGACGGCTGTTTGCAAGGATCATTCCCGACACCCCTGCGCTCGAGTTGGGAAAGGCTGGGCTTCCACTTCCGCTGTTCTTGTTTGTTCTGTTGGATACTTTTTAGCCTGAATAGCAACTGGCATTCTTCGTGGCATCTCTGCACTGTGAACAACAGCAATGTTGTGCTTATATTTCCATTCGAACACGTTATACATTTATATTAAAGTCAAGAACCTGTTATTTGTGGAGATTTCTCAGAGCCAAATTATGATGAACTTGCCTTTTTTTGCATCTTCTCAGAATAAAGTAAGACAGAAATTTGTATTCCTTTGTAATCTATTTAATGTGTGTTCTGAACTCAGGCAAGACTGGCCTGGGTGGGGGGCGCCTTATAATGTACACAGAGTATTTTTAACTTTCCCCCTAAAGAAAAAGGAAGGAAGGGAGGGAGGGAGGGAGGGAGGCAGGGAGGAGAAGCAAATCTCAAATCTTTTGAGGCCACTGTGTTTTTCATAGTGGCCTCAAAAACCCAACAGGAGTGATTGCTGCATCATGCAGCTTCTGATAGTAAAAGGGTCTCATGATGCAAGTTTCAGAAATAAATAAAATAGGTATTAAAATATAAGAGCATTTTATGTCATTGTCTAACAAAAATGCTGTACTTATGTAACTTCAAGCCCCAAAACATATAGCAAACTTTCTAGGATAAAAAGATAACATTAGAATCAGAATACCGATATTTTAGCAACATGATCACTCTTGGCTGTTTTTTGCTTTTTCAAAATGAATAAAAGTAATTATGCTCTGGCTGGTGTAGCTCAGAGGACTGAGCATGGGCTGCAAAGCAAAGGGTGGCCAGTTCAATTCCCAGTCAGGGCACATGCCTGGGTTGTGGGCCAGGTCCCCAATGGGGGCCACGTGGGAGACAACCACACACTGATGTTTCTTTCCCTCTCTCCTTCCCTTCCCCTCTCTCTAAAAAATAAAATAAAATCTTTTTTAAAAAGCAATTACAGCCACAGTGAGTGTGCTAAGTCAATGATCGGAACAGTTAAAACAACTGACGGGGCTCCCCGCTGGTGGGGCTGTGACTGAATCATCTCCAGCCCTGGTAGCCAAGAGGCAGGTTTTCAGTTACTGCCAAGCACCCTTCCTGAGAGGCAATGGGCATCACAGGGATTCCCACCGGCACCTCCCTCCAACCCACGAAACTGCACACTGTCGCACGTGCAGGACTGCGCATGCCCGCTCTGCCTCTGTCCGCGATGTCCTGCAACGTCCGATTTCTAATAAAGGATCCCAGGCAAGACGAGAAGCTCTGGATCAGAAAAAGATAGAATCCTCCCCTGACCGGTGTGGCTCAGTTGGTTGGGCGTCCTCCATGAAGGGAAAGGTCGGCGGTTCAGTTCCTGGTCAGGGCACACACCTGGGTTGTGGGCCAGGCCCTAGATGGGGCACGTGAGAGGCAACCACACACTGATGTTTTCCTCTCTTTCTCCTTCCCTTCCCCATTCTCTATAAGTAAATAAGATATTTTAAAAAATAAGGATAGAACCCTGTTGATATAAAAAAACTCAATCTAATTTACTATCTCATTTTACTGTGCGCTTGCACAATTTCTTCTGCCTTTCATTGTCCTTCACTTAAATATAACAGTCGAAGGAAGTGGCCATTGGCATTTCCCCTTATTTGTGTGCACACTGCAGAATATGCACCTATGTGGAAAAGCTCTTCCACACACTGTGAAAGCCACAGGGCAGCCTAAGGGTTAAACGTGTGGCAGCACCCTCCAGGCACGCCCCTGCCATCTCGCCACTGGATGGGCAATCTTTGGTATTTTCAGACGGAGCCCCAGGGTGAAAACCCTGTGCTACACTCCAGCGGGTTGTATACACAGCTTCCTTTTCTAGCCACTACACTAATTCCTTTCATACCAGAGGGGAAATCCTCCCCCCACCCTGCTGGGTATTTCTCTATGTTTTATTTATGAAAACTCTAGTGGGTGTTTCTTAAGGCAGCCAATCTCTCTCTCTCCATGAAGAGAAGGCAATCAATGTTTGCTGTTCCTGCATCCTCCACTGTGCACAGTTGTATGCGAGTCACTTAGAAATGCCAGAGCAGTTTCACAAATGTGTACTTTGTCTCCAAATTAGAAGCAGTACTAATTCCTTTTGTGAAAAATTTTATTTATTCATTTTAGACAAAAATGAAGGCAGGAAGAGTGATGCTGCATGTGAAAAAACTGGCCCCCTCTTCTTCTCAAGAGCAGGACATGCATCTAGGGGCCAAGGAAAGTGTTATAGAACTCAAGGGGGGTTGCCACTCCCCGTGGTTGCTGCAGGTAGTTTTATTTACTTGCAGCCAGTAAAGGAGAGTCACAGCCAAAACTCTATCTACCTGAAGGGAGGCTTAACCATTGCTTATACACACTTTTTAGTTAATTACACATTGATTTCTTCTTTGCAGTTGCCTAGACTTGGGCAGTTGGCTACAACTTGGGCAGTTGATTTCCTGTCAAGTTCATCCTGTTTACAGCTGCATCTGCAAAATACCGTGCTACGTTTTAACGAGTAGCAACAAAAGCATTTAATAAGAACTGCTCGGACCTTGAGACCCTCGTCCTCTCTAACAGATGGATTGGGGAACAGCCATTGCCCTGCATCGTAATGCAGCTGGCAAAGCTGGTCCGTGGGTGCAGCTCCACGGGCCTAGTTTCTTTTACCTAGGGCACATAGTTCTTTCTGACCTTTCTGTAGTTTTTTGTTTGTTTGCTGCCTTTGGCATTCATACATGATTGGCTAAGGCCCTTGAGAGGAAGGAAAAAAATCTTTCACTTGCGTACCCAGTATTTGGGCCCGGATGTTATTCTAACCTCTCCTGATGCATCATTTGTGCCACTGGTCCACGTCTCTCCTGAACCGTGTAATACAAAGAATCCTTAAGAGTATAGAAGTGAATTCCTGCTCCTTATGGCTTAAATATCCCTTGTGAGCATAATGTAATTCAGAATTGCTGGGGCTCTTAATACAACACGAACATTTTAATTTCTTTTTTTTCATATTTTTGTTGTTGTTCAAGTATAGTTGTCTCCATTTTCCCTCCATTACTCCCCCTGACCCCAGCCATCCCCACTTCCCACTCTTGATCCGACCCCCTTTTGGTTTTGTCCGATGTGTCCTTCATACATGTTCCTGGAAAACCTTCCCCCCTGCTTCCCTCCATTATCCCCTCCCACCTCCCCTCTGCCTGTTTGTTCTTCATTTCACTGCCTCTGGTTCTATTTTGCTTGCTTGACAAACATTTGAATTTAAAATAGAATGACCTTTGTCCACCATGGTCTTGATGGGCGAGTCAGTCGGGAACACCTGTGCCTTGTTATGAGGCTTTCTAGTAGAAGGAGCTGGACTTTGGAAACATAGGCAACTCCCGCCTCATTATTACATCTCATTAAAATGCCCTAAAGCTCTAGAGTTTCCATAGAAAATCCTAAGCTAGTTAAATATGCATTTGTCATTCAAAACTAGTGAATGAACTATTAGTCACTGGAAGCATCATTAAATATAGGCTTGTTCCCTTACCTTTAAACTCATGAATAAGGCTTTAATTTGAAAATGTCTGCCATGAGACTGTGTGAAGGAGACTGTGCGCATCGTGCTTGTGCTGAGGAAATACACGTGCCTGTCTGCCCATCTGAACTAGAGTAACTAACTACATTTTGAGGTTGTAGGTTATGGATTTTGGACTGTATGGATTTTTATGGGAATTACACAAACCTTGTTTAATTTAGGTAAAATACCACTAAAAAAGGTTCTCCTTGTCTAGAATTTTGCTGCGCTTTACACCTCCATATTGATCTACAAATTATGTCATAGTAACTACATTTTAATTATTATGGCATGTTCCCTTCAAACTTGCAGTTCTAGTCATGGATTTCCCAGCGTCTGGCTGTGAGACCGGAACAGAGCCAGCCTCTCCCCAGAATGGAGTGTTAGAGCGTGCTAACCTGTCCTTTTTCTTCTCGTTACACAAAGGTTGTTTATCAAGAAAAATTCTTGTTACATCTGAAAAGCTACTTTAGTTCTTCTCTAAATGCCCCACATTTACATATATATGAGCATTAAAAAAAAAAACAACAATTTGAAGCTTTTTTCTATACTTTGAACTTCTCCTCAGACTTTCGTTAAGTAATTTTATTGTACCTAACCACTGATTCAACTTCTTATTATGGGAACTTTTGAAAGGTTGCATTTATTTATTTTTAGAGAGAAGGGAAGGAAAGAAGGGGAGGGAGAGAAACATCAGACTGCTAATGACACACTGATTGGTTGCCCCTCGCACACACCCTGACCAGCACTGGCCCGCCACCCAGGCGGGTGCTCTGACGGAGAGCCCAGCTGCTGACCTTGCGCTTTTCAGGCAACACCCAACCAACTGAACCACACACCTGGTCAGGACCCAGGAGAACCGTTAAACACACAGGAACGTACAGAGAATAGTGGTGAGCCCCCATATTCCTAGCACCTGCTTTTTTTAGTGTTTATTAACATTTGTCATATTTATAATGTTTGCTTTAAAGCAAATCCCAGGCATTGGGACATTTCATTCTTACATATTTCAAGAAGAATTGCTAAGGGGGGAAAAAGGCCCTTTCTTACATAACTACCTATTGGTATTATATTTACCAAAATTAACAATTTTCTAAATTTTTTATTTATTGATTTGAGAGTGAGAGAGAAACCCATCCACTTGTTATTCTGCTTATTTATGCCTTCATTGGTAAGCTATTGGCTAGGGCTTAACAACAATGTTTTATTACCATGTAATAGCCTGGTCCTTTTGTCAATTTCCCTGATTATCTCCGGATGTCATTTGACTGAAGTTCCTCATGGTTTTCTTCCCCCTTTGCTGAGTGATTTATTGAAGAGACGGTATTGATAGTCTTATGATACGTCCTATGATTTTTCTGTTAGCTTGTGGTATCATTTAATTTATTCCTCTGTCCCTGGTGTTGCCGGTAAATAAAGAGCCAGATCCTAAAGTCTGATTAGATTCACACTTAAGATTTTTGGCAGGAACATTTTAGGTGGCATTGTATATTTCATATTGCTTCTCAAAGGAGGTACACAATGCCTCACTGTCCCTCTTTAAGGAAGCCTGGGACTGACCAGGTGGGTCAAATGGTCCTCTGCCCCCACCGTTATACTGTTGACCTCCCCCTTGTACTGCAGGCTACAACTTTGAGATCTTTCAAATATCTAGTTCCCTAAACACCTTTCCTCTAATCCTTTTGGCATCCATTTGGATAATACATTAGTTGCCTGAATCATTTGTTTCATTGGAGAATGAAGAATTGAGATTTTTATAATTCTGTTACTTTGTCCACCTTTATTAACTAAAATTCTTTTGCTTAATTAAAACACATTCTTCATCAACTGAGACAATTCAGGAATTCTAAAATGCAATTTATGTAGACTATATAGGTAAGGCAGGTTAAATACTTCATTCTTTCCTTAAATGGTGATTTTCAGAATATTAATGTGGTATACCAGCCACCTCCAATGGTGACAAATGAGTTTTGAGATCTTTTTCCCCCTTCTACTCTCTTCTTTTTCTCATTATCTTTATGAACTCCTGAATTTTTACATAGTCAATCTGTTTAAACAATTTCAGTCATTCTTTTCTGGCGGTTCAAGTTGTCCCACCTCTGGGCAGTGGGGACCCTGTAGTGTGGCTGCCGTGTCCCCTCTGCACGCCCTCGGGCATCTTTGAAAGGCTCCCTTCCCTGTGGTTCTGCAGAACGTCCCAGGCTCACCTCCTGCTTTTCCTAACCTGAACCTAGAACCAACCATCCAAGAAGTCAGAGTTTCTTCTATGGGGGAAATTACCGATTTTTTCTATTTCCATATACTAATATTTCTAAAAGATTCTGAACTTAACTACATTATCAGGTTAAAAATCAACTTATTTAAAAGACAAAACCCATTTACATGCTGCTCAGAAAAAAAAAACCATTTTAATTATAATCACCAATCACACACAAGTAAGAGTATCCTTGCACTTTGGGCATAGTCTCACTGATTCTGCAAGGTTCCCATGACATTGGTACAAGACAGTTCTATACTTATTCAACAAGGTGAGCTGAACAGAAAAGCAGAAATTTAACTGCACAGAAATTAGATGTATGAAAACCTGAAGGCGTCGCCACATTCTCTCACTATGATCAAAAAGCTAGTCGAGGCTTTAAAGAAATTGTAAAAAACAGTCCAAAAAGTTTCATGCAATAATACAAACTGGCAATTGTATAATTAAATTTTAGTTAAGTAATTTAAAAGAAGTATTTGGATCATTATTTAGCATTTTTATTCCACATAAAAACAGGTAAGGACATACCAGGGATGTAATACCCTGGCTAGGGCAAAACGTTCATTTATTTATTTATTCAGCCAATAAGTATTTATGTGCCTAGAAATATGAGACGCATTTAGTTCTTATAGCTATGATGTTTTAAATTAATTTCTAGAACAAGGCACTTTTTCTATGACTCTAAATCAATCACGATTCAACTATTCTACAACTGTCAAAGATCAGATTACAGTATCATAATGTAGTCAAAAAACTTAGACATATGAAGAAGTTGGCCTAATTTCCTGAGATATCAGGTCCCCTAAGGTACTTGGCAATCGAGAGTCCCTTATTTTTTTTCACTGTGGTTTGGGCTGGGTTTTCAAGCGGTAAAACTGTTTTATTCTCATTTGGTTGCCAGCTTGTCATTATTACCGCCCCAGCCAGCCCCAGACACCTCACCACCAGGTATCTTTTGCACTAAAGAGCAAACCTGAGCCCGACCTGTTCTTCCCCAGAGGACTCTCCAGGGCCGAAAGGCCCAAGAGACTTCCAACAGGGGGATTTTTTCCATTGCATTTTGCCTCTTTATCAACAAACACCTTGTCACCAGAGCTGTTACTTTCACTGCTACTTTTCAAGTGTTGCCTGACAACTTGCTTCTTCGATTTACAGGGCCCCGTTGTGGAAAGAGCCCTGTGGTAGGAAGCGAACATTCTTCCCTCCAAGCCGCCTTCTTGAACTATTGCCAGTGAACTAAAGGTCAGGGAGCTATGATCTTGCACAAGTTACTGACCTTCAGTGCCCTCGGTTTGCTCATCCGCAGAGGACCTCTGAGGGTCATAATCAGGCCAACGTTTTTCTCAACTACAGTTAGGTATGTCTTTCCCAAACCCTCCATACCAGCAAAGGGAACCGCTCGAGGGGAGATGTGGATATTTTCCTCACTTGCCTTACTGTGCTTTGGTTCTTTTCAGCTGGTACATTTCAATCAATGAAATGAAGTGGACACACTAGGAAAACTGACGGAAAAAAAACAGCAACTGAGGACTTAAAAACCATCATCAACAATTTGACTTGGTCACAATAGGCCACAGGTGGCAAACACAAGGCCCTAGGGCCGAATCCAGCCCTCCACCTTGTTTTATCCAGCCCGGCACCTTGTTTCTACCCGGCGGCAGTGCTGAGCTCTCCCTTAACTGTTAAGGGGCAGTTACATTTATACAGTCCTAAAATTACATTCGGCCCTTTGAAGGCAACCTCGAGGCTGATGTGGCCCCCAGTGAAAATGAGTCTAACGTCCGTAAAATAGCCTGTCAAATAAAATTAACTGAATTCATCAGAAAATAATTTTGTTTTAACTTATGCAGAGACACTGCCTTACTTCAAAGTAACTTGAATTATGTAACCCCATAGATTTCTTCTCCTAGTTATGGGTATAACCTTGGATGGAGGCTCTTTAGCCAAATATAAGGAGCATGTTATCCAGAATCCAACTATTCAGGTTTAAATCTTACTCTTTCACTAACTAGTTGTGTAACTATGGGCAAGTGACTTCTCTGCTTTGATTTCTTTATCTATAAAATGTGGGTAGTAGAAGTACCTCTCTTATAAGTAAATACCTTAAAGTTCTTAGTGCCTGGTACATCCTCAGTCCTCAATAAATGTTAGTGAGGCTGCATCCACCCAAGCCACCATTCCTGACCAACAAAGAAAATTTTTGTATTTTTCAATAAATCACCATCACCCTTCATCACCCACCTCTGCAAGCTCACGAGTCACTATATTTTTTATAGATCACACGCACCGGTGGAGACAGTTAAATTTTCAAGGCAGCCCAACAGAGAAACCATAACTTCCATGTATTTCTAGAACACTTTCTTCAAGTTCGTACTTCTCCGGTTGCAAATCAATCAGCCCATGCTGGGTCTTTACTGCTCTCCTGAGAGCTGCTCAGAAATTCTGTCTCCTGGCAAGAGAAGCAGTCCACCTCTTCAGTATTTTTTTCCCTGCAAGGTCATATCTATTTGTGGTTTTAGAAATGTATATGAATACTGAAAAGTAGAAGTCTTTCTCTTTTAACAAGATACCTCAGCCCACAACTCCCATACCACAGGCCTTAGCAGCTTTCACTTCCACTATTCATAACTGGCGACGTGAGCAAAGATCAAGCGCTCTCTGTCTCCATGATCACTGCAACGGTTATAATATTTTCATAAGAAAAATTTATAAGTGGGTTTCACTAAATGCAAAAGTTCCCCAAATTCCTTCACGTATGCCAAATGTGGAAAGAAAATTAGTTACCTTCAGAAAAGGACTCTTCAAAAAAATTTTCTGCTGTGAAGACTAGCCAGAGTAGTTTGAAACTAAAAGAATATACCTGAGGCTTATTTGCTTTAAATTATAGATAGGTTCGTATTTATGGTTCGATAAATCACTCTGGAAGTTTCTCAGCAGCTTTCAGAAAAACAGTTTCTCAAGTGCTTATGTAAAATGATTGAGGCAAAATGGATTTTTTTTACACAAAATGTTAATTCTGGTTCATGTATTAAAGCATGTGTTTTGGGAAATACATAATGTGACATTGTATCCTTCTTAGTTTGTTGTAAGCAGGAGACAGTGGGTTAATTCACCAACTTAGAAAACTTTGCCTGGATCACAGTTGGCCAAGAAAAAAGGTTCCTTTTACCTCACAAGCCAACAGACAGACCTTCTCAGGGAAGTTGCGTGTGTGGGAGTGTGTTTGGAGGCCTTGTGGAGAATGAGAACGTTATTACAATAAGCCTTTTTATTAGCACTCTATTTAATAAATTCTCTTGCTTTTCCCTTCGAATTAAAAGGCTTTTCCACTTAGACACAGTTTAACATTACGAAAAACACCACCCCTTTGTAGAAGAAAAAACTAGCATCAGTTTCCCAGCAGCCATTAAAGGGAAACTTTCTAGTGGCGGAACCACAAACTGCTCCACCGCTCCGGCATAAGGATGGCAGTGCCCGCTGCAGCGGAGGCTGTCGGTGCCCCGACCTCCGCACGCTGGGGCACAGCAGCTGCTGTGTGTGTTGGCTGTGTTCAATGATTAAAGAAGACAGTTTAGGCAGTATAAGCAAGCTTTATTTAACACTCCATGAACTGGACAGGCTCCTTTTGGGGAACTGCAAAATGGGACAGGAGGCTTTGGTGAGAGAAAGAGTGAAGAACAAGAAAGAGAAAAATAGACGATATCTCACAGGCTGGGGGCCACATATTCACCTTGTTTGGGTTGAGAATGAACCGGGAAGTAAGCACAGAGCCCAGAGTTTGCTCGGCGTTTGGGGATTGGTCAAAGGGAGTATTTAAAGGGACGTGAAAGTGCCCTTTTCAGTTCACTGGCATGGCTCCCTGGTCAGGAGTGGCTCCATCTGGAGCCTAGAAGTTTATTTCAACAGCTGATAACTCAATGGAGAATTGTCCACCCTTCACGTGGGTGTTTGTTGGGAAGGGGCATAATGCAGGTTGCGATCAATTCCTGAGGTTGATACCGCCCCCTCCAGGGGGCGCCAACTCTGTGGTGCACACCCGGGCCTCAGGTTTTCTACCACAAAAAGATAGTCTCTATCTTACACCACACCCTTCTTTAGTTTTTCCTCTCTGCCCTACTATCCCTGCTTCTCTCACTCTTCTCCAGGGACCGCTCTCCCAGTCAATACCCTGAACGAGAAGCTCCACATCAGCCTCCTTGTAGCAATCCAGCCCGAGAGTCGATATTGCATACGGCGCCAGGAAGAGGTGCTGAGGATGGGACTCAGCATCCCCAGCCTCTTGGTTGGAAAGGAGAGCGCATCCTGGTGGCAGGCAGAGTGCTACCGTTTCCTGGGGTGGTGATTGCTTAAGATCTTTACCTGTGGAGAACTGATAGGGGGAAAAGGTAGAAAGAAGTACATTGACCTATACAATGAGAGGGGCACTTACAAGGTCTGTGGGAAGTAGTAAGCGTAAGAACTGGGGGATTTAATCAAGAGAGAAAATGACTGCGGACCTATTTAATCAACAATTTAAAGCAAATTATGAGAGTAAAAAGGAAGAGAACTCCTTGGCAGGTTTTACTGTGACACCCTTCTCCTGCAGCTGGGAGCCTTCAATGTAAGAACTGGAAAACTTGAGAAAAGGTTAGATTTCCAGCAAGGCCAAAGTCAGGGCCTTGCTGGGGAAGAAGTGGGACCCTGAGAACTGGGATGGGGATATCTGGGTAGATGCGCTTGATAACCTTGACACCGTGTCCTCTCGAGTCTCTCCAACTCCCAGAGTCTGCATGGCTCCTTCCCCAACCCACAGCCTTACCTGAAGAGGGTTCTCCTAACTCAAAAGCCCTTCTTATCTTTCCCTGTTACCGTTAGACATTCTGTTTTGTCTGGAGCACCAGGGATTCTCCCCCATTGGCCAAGATGGTGGCAGAGGGAGGTTTTTATACTGAGTGCACAGAAAGCTAGAAAGATGAATGAATAGGGAACTGGGTACACCAAAAGCTAGCAAGATAATAGGAAACAGCCCTTCCCCAAATCAGGTGCCAGATTGGGGGTGAAACCAGGAGAAGGGAGGCACATGCACCATAGAAGTCAAAATGATATCAGGGGAGGTTCTGGACGAAAAAGGCCTGTCAGTTTCACCTGGGGAAGGAAGGGATTGGTTGGGAGATGGACCTACCCGGAGCTCACAAAAGTGTGGAAAGTAGATTGTTCATTTTATGAGAGCACCTGCCCTGTACCACACCCAAGCTAATATAATCCCAGAGGAAGAAAAAGGCTGGCTGGCTTGTCACTCTCTCTGGCTCTTGTCTCTCTTTTGTTTACTACCAGCACTTGCACTGGGTATTTGCCTGTTCTCTTCATGGACCACGAAGCCCGCAGCCTCATGGTCTTGCCTACCTGGTGATGCACTGGCCCCGGCGTTGGCAAGCTCTCTCTCTTGGGAGCACGTGACAGTGTGGCTACAGCAGGTGCATAGCTCATGGCCGTGTTGGTTCTACAGGCAGAAGGGAGCCCAAAATAGACAGCGTCCGGGAACCAGCTAAGCTACCTGGATTGGGACTGAAACCACTTAGCAGCTGTACTTTCAAATGGAGCAGGAACTAGGAACGCTGGCTTTTGTCTTGGCCTTCCCGAGGATGGATGGACTTTTTCCATGGCTGAAAGACGAGATGGATTTTGAGACAGGAGTCTGCCCTGCTCCCAGGCATGCTGCACTGAATAAAACCTCTTTCCTTTTATACCAGCATCTGCCTCACGAGTCTGGCTTCTGTGGCAAAAGCAGCCACACCTCCATTTTTTTTGGTTCAGTTACACCCCCTCATCCCCTACTGGCCATCAAACCCATGATCAGGGTCAAATCTCAGCATGACCCAGCTGAGGAACTGCAGGGCATGCTGAGGACAGAGAGGCGCTGTCTTCCCAAGCAGCCACAGGGCCAAGCTACTGTGAATCACCAGGAGCCGGTGGAGAGGCCAGGCGAGCCAAGCAGGAAACAGACAAACGCAGGATGTGACTGACTTACACCGTGGAAAGGATTCCTTCTGGGTTTCCCTTGCTGTCTCCTATTAACCTGGGGGATTTATGACTTTACTCCCGGGGTTGCCAACAGTTTTGTCAGCATGATATTTATGTATAATTTTACAATTTGAATGCTTTCATGCCGACCACATGGCCCCACCCCATTATGTTGTAGTTTTATGCGGTCACGTTACTTCTCTGGCCCTTGAAGCTTCTCGTTAGTTTTCTCCCGCTACTCTCTGCTCCTCGCTTTCAAACAGCAATTGAAATTCTCTTTATTGCTTTTCGAATCCTCTGAAATGACTTCTTGATTTTTCTCTCAATCCCTGGTTATGTACTCACTTAAACTGGGCTGTTTTTCTTTTTGTACTTAAATTCTATCATAGTTTAACTTAAGTTAATCTCTTATTTATTCTTACCCAAACTTCTAATTCTTCAGATTGCCTTCCACTGAGGCAGTCTCCTGTTTGTAGCTGTGAACTTATCTTTGTTATCTGTCACATATGCACCTTCTCAAATAATATATACAACAATAAGAATGGAATTGTCACAGTCTATTTCAGTATGAAAGGATGATTTCCCACTAAAACTTTATGTATTATTAATCAATGACTGATTGATTATATGCTATTTTATTTATCAGGCACCTTGCATTATTTCATAATTCTCATAACAACCCTATAAAGTAGTTATATTATTGTCTTCATTTTACAGATAAGAGAAATAAGGAAAGAGATTAAACAACAAATTCAATGTCATGCATTTAATAACTGAAAAACTGAACTTGAACTTGATTAACCTAAGTCCAGAGCTTGTTCTTACTTAACACGTTGTTCTAAAATTCCAGTTACTATTCCATATATATATATATGATTATTCTAGAATAAACTCTTAAACCTCACAGTCAGTTATAGCCTTAAATTGCAATTTAAAAAATTTAATGAAGTTAAAAATGTAATCTTAAAAATTCAATGAAGTTTGCAAAGACAACTATGTCATAAAAAGTTTTGAGAAGTTTTGTTTGCTGTTTTACAAAATAGGCAAATAGAAGAGAAACAAAAAAAATAATTCCAAAATGGTATAAAGGAACAAAGAAAACCCCACCTCCTTTAAGCTCCCTCTGCTTGTTGCCTACTGTTTAATTTTTTTGTCTCTCATAAATTCCTCTGCCTCATATTTACAGTGATGAAAACTACAATAAAATGAGAAGAATCCCATGTATGCCTAAAATGAGATAAACACCAGTCATAAGAATATGCACAGCTTCCCACTGAACCTGTCGAGGTTGTGGCACTGCCGGGCTTTAGGTGAAGCTCAGCCTCCGACACACGACCAAGAGAGTCTCACCTGGTCCAGCTCCCTCCCACATCTGCAGCCACATCTGCCTTGCTCACATTCCCCCAACCATCCTCAGCAGTTTTTTCAGTTCTTCCAAGGAGCCAAATGATGCCCAACTCAGGGCCTCCACATTCTCTTGTTCTTGTGGTCAGAAGTGGTCCCTCAACGGCCTGCTTCCTGGAGATCTAACTCTTCCTTCTCCTTGTCTCGGCTCCACTGTCAGGTCCTCAGGGAAGTCTGGCCTGACCTTGCAGGTGAGGTCAAATTCCAACTTCTCACGCTGTAATTTTGCTGTGTAGTAATCACCACCATCCCAGTGTAATATCTGTCTCCCCAGATGGACTGTACGTTCTGTGAGGGCAGCCCCATTGCATACCCAGTCCTTTGGACAGTCTCTGTAACATGTCTCAATAATTTTTCTAATGAGTGAGCATAAAAAGATATAAATAAATGAAAAGGGAATAGGCCATAGCCAGAAAATTCTTGCTAATCATCACAGTTAATTTTACTGGCTTCTGTTCCCCACGCCCCTTGGAAGCGCTTACTCCTTAGCACCACTTCTGTTCATATTCCTGAGTGGTTCCGGTTCCACAGTACAGGCCTGTGTGGAGTTGCAATGGCTGCATAGCATGAATGGGCTCCTGCCGCTCCTCCTTCATCCAGGCAGAACAGGCAGTTTTAGCCCTCACTCAGTAATTAACCCTGTGACACCTTTCAAGTATCTTCCATTCATTATTCAATAATATACACAATCCTTTGAACCTAAACTTTCTCATTATCTGTAATTATTCTTTGAGGCAGGAGATGTTAACAAGGATAAATGCAATTACCTGGCTTTGCAACAAGAAGCCATATTTATTGATACTGTGATTAGGAAGTCACTAAATATAGACGTGGTAATAATCTCAGGCTTATTTCCAGTGCAACCAGATGATTGAAAGGCACTTTTGCCAGATGGCTGTGTCAAAGGAAATCAGATAATTACATCATGTT